GACTGCGCAACGTGCAGAAAAATCAGCACACAACTCTGTAACAAAATGGCGTTGTTTGTACACGCCTACATGACATCACGCAAGACTGCTGGCTTCTTTCTCGACACACATGTTTACACCGACGCATTGAGAACTGCGCAACGTACAGAAAAGGCAGCACACAAGTCCTGTAACAAAATGGCGCTGAATTGTAAATCATGCTCCAAAACACACAAGCAGAACGCATCGACTTTCTGCCTCAACTCACATGTATCGGACACAACAAAGGACACAAGCTGTCGACGCACTGCGGACTGCGCAACATACAGGAAGTACACGCACACACACACACACATCCTGCAACAACATGTCACTGCTTCCACACGCCTACCTGACACACGTGAGCGTGAGTGCACCCGGCCTCAATACCCATGTGTTCAATTGCGTGGGACCCAAAACGAAGGACAGGCAACCAACAAACTGACACGAAAACAAAACCAGGCATGTCCTGTAACAAAATGGCGCTGTTTTAACAAGCCCACTGCGGACATGCGACATGAACACTGTTTTGAAATGTTCACGACACCTACTACAACATCGCCCCCACACAGAGCAGCCACTACCAAAAAGCAGCCGCCCCGCTCACTACAGCCTGAGATGATCTGATCAACCAGCGGCCGTCGGCTCCATGCGTAAGATCTGAAAAGTGAGACATGACTCCATCAATATAAGTGCCGCCTGAAGTAGCTTTGCGATGACTCGTTTGCCGGCAGTAAACCCAGCCACATGCACACACAGGGCGTGAACTCTGATAACCTCCATACTTTCTTGCAGACAGAAGTGACTCATTCAAAGCCACACGCCCTTCATGGTCATTGCTGGGAACCCTCATATTCGATGTCGGAAATTTCAAGCGAGCATAAAAGCCCAAAGTGGGTAGATCATCACTGCCAAACCAACTTGGTCGTACTTTGGCCTCCACTAGTATGGATGCCAAGTCATGCGAATTTGTATTGTGCGCAAAAGGCGCAACAAACACTGTCTGGTTGTGAGATGGATATGACCGGCGAAGAACAAGCACAATGCCCATCACTGAATCGTCTTGTCTCATCCAATAACAAATATACTGGCTGTTCACGGACATCTTTGGTACATTCTTAGCAGCAGCCAGCGCTTTTGCCAGATGCCAAATCTGAACACTGGCTTCTTCCGATAACGTGAACACCATCTGCGAATGTCGGTTGGCCGACTGAACCAACGCAGCAAACCAGACATTCACATCAGAATCGCTTGGAGGAAAATGGAAATCCGAATGCGGAAGGAAACGCCCCCAGGCCTCTGCTGCTGAGCGCAACCTATTGGGGTCCTGCACAATCCTGGACCGGAGACGCAAAAGAATCTCCAGTAGTGCACTCCAATGCTGTCGCTTCATGTCTTGCCAAGGAAAATCATACACCTCCAGTCCTGCAATAGCGGGAAGTGTGAACGCTTGTGACATGAACCGGTGTAAGACATCCAACGAACCATCTTGGGGCGATGGGGAATCTGAATGCACGCGGTACCAGATTGTGTTCATGTTCGGAACCTGAAGACATGACCATGGAAGTTCCCACGTACCCGGGGGAATTGCGTCGTCAAGACTGCGGGGTCTCCGAGGGGTCCTGGATTGATCTCTCTGCTGCCCAGCTTGACCGGCTACGACTTCAACTAGGCGCATGCTCATCTGCTGCACGCACTGAGATGCGAGCACAGGGTCATGAATTTGAATAGACATACCACGATCATGAGAGTAACCAAAGCTGGACCCGGCGGGAGGGGCGGGGGCGGAGGCGGCGCGGACTGTACCAGTTGACGTTGTTGGGCCACTTCTTGCTGAACTCGCTGTCTGATATACATCGCAGCAGAGGTGGGCGGGAGCGTCGGGGGCGGCCCGCTGCTTTTCGGAAACATGACGTGCAGCGCTGTCCCAAAACACAAAACCCCGACCACACGCACACAGCTGAACTTAAGCAATGTGCCAGAAGCAACTCCTGCAAAAAGGCACCCTACGCGGGTTTACTCTGCTCATGCATTCACACCAGCCTGAAGAGCCAGACATTGCGTTTAGCTTCAGCATTACAACTGCGAGAAGTGATCAAACTCCCTCTCTGCAGACATCAAAAAACATTTGCCATTTTAGCTGTCACATCGGACGGTATCGGTTTTGCAATATCGACCTTGCGAGTCGGGTAGCGGACACTACTTCCGACTGTGAGAAGCCATGAGCTACGTACCATTGACAGAGCGTTTCTAGATCTTCACACGCCTGACGTTTTGGCCAGCAGCACCTAACTACATTGACAGATCTGCTCCTCAGTCCAGACAGCAACGTCCACTTTGAGGCAGCTGAACTCTGGTGGAGAAGCTGCCACCCCTCCGTTGGCTGCACGAACTTCACAGCTGCACTTTGAATCTGAACGTCAAATCCCAAAAAGACTGATCCTTCTTCATCTTCCAGGCAAATCGGGGGCAGGTATACATCAGGCGCAAGGAAAGCCGACATGACCGACAGATTCGCCACAAATCGTGACATGATAGCTATCCGGTTATCCACGTATCTTGCCACAAAGAGCGATCCAGCCGAAAAATTGGCGAGGGCAGCGTTGTTACGCAAGATGTGCGAGAAAGCACGGTGCTCAAAATCTGACACGACTGCATGACAAAGCGCTGGAGAAATTGGGCTTCCCATTGGCGAGCCCATCCGTTGCTCAAAAACATGTCTCCCTACACGAAACATGTTGAACTTGAAAGAGCAATCCACTGCTTCGAGCATCAGCGCCATAGGGACGCATACATCTTTGCCGCCGGCTCTACAAAGCTTACCTTTGAAAACCTTCCGCATCTTTTCTTCTTTGTCAAGACGAACCGTAACTCGTTTGTCCGCCAAAGCAGTGGGAAGGTCAGAAAAGAAAGCCACGTTGTAGAGTCTGCAAAGCATGAAACGCAACGCCACACCAAATCGTTCTTGCGGAATGCTGATAAAGAAGCCAGCAAGGTCTTGATTGAAGAGACACTGCTCTTCGCAGACTGTCTCAGTCTCTGACACTGCGCCGAGGTGGCGGTGCACATCCTGCCAAATTGCCAACGCATCATTGTACGTCTTGCAATGAGGGCAGGTTTCCAAGACCAAGAAATCAACGACTTTGGCGAGCCCCATAAGAAATTTCCGGGCGGGGTGGCAGCAGAATGAGATGATGGGGCGACCTGCCTTCCAAGCTTTTTTATGCTTGGGAAGAATATACGACCAAGGTAACGCAGCATCTTTCTTCCGGAACTGAAACCCCCATGCAAAAGCTTTCTCAATGTGCGCTGGCACACAAGACTCCAACGTGGAGAAGGCCTGTCCCGCAGTCATGTCAACTGCACGGAACACCTCCTTGTTCTGGAAAGTGTGACAGAGCATCATCGAATACTTTTTCCGACAGAACACGTGAATATGGCCTGCCTGATGGTCCCTGACATGCCACACAAGCGTAGGAAACAAAGACTGCAGATGCAACACATCAATCACTGTCCACTTGCGGGCATCACGCACAAATTCGGAATGAATCTTGACTTGTGCATCCCACCAGAGTCTCAAGGAGTCATCATCCGGAAAGCGTACGTGGTGGTTCTTACACCATCGGTGCAAAGATGCTCGCAAACTCCCAAACAAGCTTGACACTGACGCGAAAACTTGGTTGTTGGCACTGGAAGAAGCGATGTCTCCCAGCAAACCGGGTATCCCTAACTTGGATGCCGGAGAAGCAACGTGACCATCACTCAAGTCTAGATCAGGGAAAAGCTCACTGAGACTTTGGCAATTGCATGGCAAGGAGTCAGTTCCATCTGGCTCCCAACACTCCACAAGCTCTTTGAAGTTGAACAGAACATCTTTGACCTTTGGGTGCGCTTTGAAACCAACCTGCAGCTTTGGAATGTGAAAGGGCAACAAAGTTGCTTGGCTGTCTTGAAGCAACGTGCGCAACAACTTTCGAGTATCTGCTGCAAAAGATGGATGTCCAAGACCTCTAATGCACAAACTACTGGGCTCAGAAGGCACAGTCATCTTTCGGAAAAGCATGATCTTCCTCAATCGCTTGCGCACGATTGTTTCACAATGCGGGTCACCCAAACTGCAGCCCAAACGGTACAGTTGGTAAATAAGCAGGTCATCAACATGTCCACTGCGCAGAAGCTTCGCTGCCAAAAAGGATTGAAGACCTCCGCGGCCAGATCAAAGAGGACCTGGAGTGAGAACATGGCGGCCCTCACGATGTTTGCGTCACGGAAAGGGCCAGGCTGAATTGCGTATCCTTTCCTGGGCATCTGTCTGTATCGGCGATGCAACCTGAAAGAATACAAATGTCTGCGTGTTGCGGTGACACGAACTGCAACCGTTCTCAGAGAATGCTTGCCTCGAAAATTTTTTTGATAAATGGCGCATTCAACGTTGGTCGCCAAAATTGAATCCAGAACTGCTCAACGGCATGAAGGCATCGCTTCAAAGGGCAATGCATAAAGACGATGGGAACTGCCAAGTGGTAGGTATCTGTCTTCAAATACCACCACAACGCCAACTCTCCAACCACATGCTGTGAACGAATGAGCTGTCTATACTTGCCAAGACGCGTGCGCTCCCGGAACCCCAAGGTTCCAGTGGAAGACCCAACGTAAGTACGCCGCTTCAAATGCGGTGACACGAAGATGCGCACATACACACAGTTGGATCTTTGAAAAAAGTCCCAGGTGTAAAGTTCTGGTCTAAGATGACATTGCGACAGAATGTCAGACTGAAACACCCCAAAAGCATGGGTGAGCAAAAGAAACAAACCCCTCTGCCACAGAGCTACATCCATAGCCCAGGCACCCCACTGCATGGGGTTTTTGAAAAAGGCCTCAAAGAATTTTGCCGCACCAATGGCAAGGCACAAAATGCCCCTGTGATGCCGCCACAACTGACGAATAGGGCGACCATTGGCATGCTTCAGCAGCATCACTAGTCAAAGTGACATCTTAGAAGCTACTGCGACGATCTTCAAAAGCGGCTCTTGCTTGAGCTTGGAGATCTCTCTAACGGGCACTCCCCACTGGACAGCCTGATGGTCAAGCTTAGCCTGAGCACCTGGGCTAAGAGACTCAAACCAACTCTGCACGGATTGGATCCAGTTCTGTAGCTCGTTTGACTTCGCTTTCGAGAGCTTCAACTTGGAGATCCAGTCTTTTACTTCACGATCGTTCTTCATCTGCACCCACTTTTTACTCAGGAACTCGGACTTGGGCTTGTCCATAACTTTCTGCACATGCTCAACCGAACCAAACGCGGGTTCTGCAACAGGCGCCCCGCAGTTGTTTGCCTCATGGGGCGAATTGGACGCTGCAGGACCACCCTCAGTGTCGTTCTTGGCAAAGAACGAGGTCAAGCTCGACTGCATCTTTTCTTGTGGCTTTCCGTCAGTTGTGCTTGATGACCCAGGGGCGGTTGTATCATGCCGCTCAAGGTCCAAAGGTGCACCGCTCTGGTCTGCGACTCGTTGCTCTGGCGCTGTGCTTGGCGCCTGCACAGTTTGGGTTGCTCTTTGTTGAGCTGCAACTTGCTTCTGCAACTCTTGAATTTGAGACTGCAACGCAGCGACACGATCCGATTCTTGGCTCTGCTTCGGCTGTAAGGATTGAATGTACTCTGCAACCTTGGTCGCCAACACTCCGGAGCACCAGGTTCGATCCCCCGCTTGCCCATCTTGCCGGGACACATGCTCTGCAATCACATCAAGCGAGACATGGTTGGATCGCAACGTCTGAAACAGACTGTGAGCAAAAACCACCTCAGCGACATCTTTGAACATTCCCAAGTAACATTCTTTTCCATCGCATAATCTTCGCAGCCACCAGCTAGACCACCCGTGGTGTAGCAGAGCATGAATAGGCACTGCCGAAGCTGGACACCCCGCAATGCCTTTGCGGCGAGTGAAATCCGAAGTCTTGACAAATCTTGGGAGCTGCAACCCTCCCACGAGATTTGTGTCCAGAAACATAGCATCACCACGGAAACTGGACGGGAGCGGTGGGCCGAATGTACTCACAAATGAGTGAGATTGGCCTTTCTCTTTCTCAGGTGTTGCAGCTTGGACTTGACTGACGTTGTGTTGTTGCGTCGGCCACTGCTGCACCTGTCCCAACACACAGGCCCCTTTACCTGGCATTGCCTTGCCATACGGTTGAAAACCGCCGGGCAATGCCGACGATGCTCCGCAACCTAAGCCATATGGAGCCTGAGGCCGATATGGGCCGTACTCACACTGCGCTCCAATCCCGGCGTGCGCACCTTTTCCGACACATGGCAGTCTTGACTGTTGCGGAACCTCGAAATTGGGCGGTGACCAGTGCAATTGTGTCGCAGGCAAGACTGCACTAACACCTGCACTAACACCTGTCCCGCCACTTGGCTGCATCCATGAGAATTGCTGTCGCCGAGGCGAACGGTCTCTACCCGGCAGCATTTTCCCGTTCCCGCTTAGGAATCAGGCAGAACTCCAGCTTGAGCAAGCAAAACTGTGTGGACAGAACTTCTCACAGTCTCATAAAGACAAGAACAAGAACAACAAGGTCCAACGCACGCAGCAAGCACAGGCCAGTACCCCCATGTCAACCGCACACGCAAACAAACACAGACATGCGTGATGAGTCAGCAATTTCCACTGATGTTGGAGGAACTTCAGTTCCTGTCCTGTGGGGATTGTCGGGTCAATCATTCGTCAAGAGAAGAGGACACCGGACAAGAAAGGAAGACAGGAAGAAAAGAAGAAAGGAAGAAAGGAAGAAAGGAAGAAAGGAAGAAAGGAAGAAAGGAAGAAAGGAAGAAAGGAAGAAAGGAAGAAAGGAAGAAAGGAAGAAAGGAAGAAAGGAAGAAAGGAAGAAAGGAAGAAAGGAAGAAAGAAGAAAAGAAGAGAGGAAGAAAGGAAGAAAGGAAGAAAAGAAGAAAGGAAGAAAGGAAGAAAGGAAGAAAGGAAGAAAGGAAGAAAGGAAGAAAGGAAGAAAGGAAGAAAGGAAGAAAGGAAGAAAAGAAGAAAGGAAGAAAGGAAGAAAGGAAGAAAGGAAGAAAGGAAGAAAAAGAAGAAAGGAAGAAAGGAAGAAAGGAAGAAAGGAAGAAAGGAAGAAAGGAAGAAAGGAAGAAAGGAAGGAAGAAAAAAACAGAAAGACAGAAAGAAAGAAAGGAAGAAAAGAACAGAAGAAATGAATAAAAAAAAAAGAGAGAAGAAAAGAAAAGAAGAAAAGAAAAGAAAAGAACAACAGCCTGCCAATGGCTTCACCTTTCACGGTGCTGACGACATGGCCCCATGTGGGAAAGCTCATGCCGAATCACAATTTGCAAAGTCTTGTTTGGCAGAAAGACTCATCAATGATGAAGTCAAACGCCGCTTCTTTAAAAATGTTTTGAAACCTTCCTGTACAACCTCATGACAAGGAAAACGCAGGTACGTCGATGTGCGTCCACATCGATTTCAGCACTACGCTCTGACCCTCTTCGTTGGGCCAACAGTCAGAGCGAGTGGTTGGCCCCCCTGCAGATTTCTTGGGTTCTCGTCTCACCCGCACCGCAAAATAGGCGTAACAAAATGGCGCTGTGTTATCACGGAAAAATTCAACGCCGGTGCTTCTCATCTCGCTCAAGAGCACATGCCGGGCAAAACGGAAAACCAATTACATCAACTGACATGCCGAGCTTTAGCAGCTCAAGTTCCAATCAAGATGTTGGTTCTCATGCAGACGTGCACAAAATTGCACAAGTCTCACAAAATGGCTGCGATGACATGTTCGATGCACAACCTTCGCATGTACAGCAGAGATGCACACAAACTCGCCAAACAAACCCTTAAAGCCCTTTAAGACACGTGAACCCTAGAATATAAGCCCAAAAAACACTAGCAAGCCCAATAAAGCAGTATTCGCTCTACAAACCCTGTAAACCAATCCTAAACCCCAAAATCCCACCAAACAACCCTAAAATCATTATAAACCCCTAAAACCCCCAAGCAAGCCCTATGCAGCCCTATAAAGCCCTTAAAAAAAAAAAAAACAAAAAAAAAAAACTAGCCCTAAACCCTAAACCCTAAACCCTAAACCCTAAACCCCAAAAAATGCCCCCCCAAAAAAAGCCCCTCGCAGAGCCCTGTGAACCAGAAAACCTTGCGAGCGCCAGGGTGCGGCTGTGAGCCGGCATGCCCTTGAGCTGCCCGAAGAGGGAGCCAAGGAGCTCCTCCGCCAGTTTTTCAGCTTCAGCTATTATTGTTATTACTATTACTATTATTAGTTTATGTTTTTTTTTTTTAACAGGTGTTTTTTTGAAGAAGGCTTCTTTTTCGGTTTTTAAGGTGTTCAGGGCGTTCTGGGGGCCCAGGTCTTTTTAGGGGCTTCTTTTGCGGTTTCTGAGGTGTTCGGGGCTTTTTTAGGGACAGCTTTAAGGTGTTTAAGGTTTCTTTTGGGTTTTTAAAGTGTTCAGGGTTTGTTGGGATTTAAAGCGTCTTCAGGAAGGCATTGTTGGGGTTAGTAGGGGTTTTGAGGGCTTTTTGGGGGGTTTGTAGATCTTTCAGGCCATGAAACCCTAAACCCCAACCCCCAAACCCTAAACCCCAAACCCTCGGGGCTTCAGGGTTTTTAGGGTTTTGGGGGTTTAGGGTTTAGGGTGTAGGGTTTAGGGTTTAGGGTTGGGCCACCAAGCTTTTCGAAGCATCCCGGGGATCCATACAGCGGGCCTGGATCTCAAGACTTGGAGCCCTCTCACATCCTCAAGGCGCCCACAGGGTTTAGGGTTTAGGGTTTAGGGTTTAGGGTTTAGGGTTTAGGGTTTAGGGTTTAGGGTTTAGGGTCTAGGGTCTGGGGCCTAGAGGTTAGGATTTAGGGTTTAAAATTCACCTTTTATGGCTTGGGGTCATGCTGACATTGCAAACAGTGGGCAAGCCTGACGCAGACATGACGTAAAGATCCGGAAACGTGCGGCGTCAGGCAGTCAAGGTGGGGAAAGCACAGGATCCCACAACTAGGTTGGCCCCAAACCCTAAACCCTAAACCCGAAACCCGAAACCCTAAACCTGAAAAGACTCCTCAGGATGTTCCGTTACACCATCTTAAGCTCAACAAGACAAACCCCAGCAGCCCTCAACAAAACCCCCCCAAGCCGGTTTGGGGTTTAGGGTTTAGGGTTATAGGGTTATAGGGTTTAGGGGACAATCCCCAGCTACTCCCGCCTCAATCTTCTGGTCGTACTCAGCCAGCCTCCTGACCCTGAGGCCCTGCAGCTTTACGCCTCGGCATCCGCTTTCGAGGGTCTACAGGGTCTGAAGGGTTTAGGGTTTAGGGTTTAGGGCTTAGGGTTTAGGGTTATAGGTGGCGGTTTGGGAGACCACCTTCTGCGATGCTAGTTGCAGGGGGGCCCTCTACACCCTATAAACCTCGGAAGGTCGCAGACCACGGTGCAGAACCTTGGGGACGAAACGAACCCTAAAATTGGGGTCATATATTAGGGTTTAGGCTTTTAGGGTTTAGGGTTTAGGGTTACCCTATACTACTATCATTACCATTAAGGTGTATGAACCATAAACCCTTTAAGGTTTCATTTCGTCCCCAAGGAATGAGTCCACTTAGGAAGGAGTGCCTGTGCACCACAGGGCCTTCCGAGGAAGAAACGCAGAGGCTGCCTTGGCAAGACAAGCCCACACCTCAAACCTTGACCCTCATTCCTGAACCAAAGCTCCCCCCTCCCCCCCCTGTAGTTCCCTTGGGTTACAAACCTCCCTTGAACCCCCCCGTAAACCCTAAACCCTCAACCCTAAACCCGAAACACCTAAACCCGAAACCTTAAAACCCGCAAGCCCTAAACCCGAAACCCTAAAACCTAAACCCTGAACCCTAAACCCTAAGCCCTAAACCCCAAACCCTAAACCCTAAACCCTAAACCCTAAAGCCTAAACCCTAAACCCCTACGTAGTGCGGCCACATCTCCAGGCTCTGGGCCGGCCTCTGTCCGCTTTTGGCGCACCTCAGTCTTGCTTCCTGGTTCTTAGTAGGGAATGAGGGAGTTTAGGGTTTAGGGTTTAGGGTTTAGGGTTTAGGGTTTAGGGTTTTTGTCTGGGCCTCAGGGGTTTTTTCGGGGCTTTAGGTTTGGGGCTTTTGGGGCCTTTGGGGTTTTAGGGTTTTTGTTTTGGCCTTAGGGTTTTTTTGGGGACTTTAAGTTTAGGGTTTTTAGGGCTTTTGCATTGGTGTTTTTGGGCCTTGAGGTTTTTTGGGGCTTTAGGGGGGTTTAGGGGTCGGAGTGGGGGTGGGCCGATCCTGACAGCAAGGAAAGTGGCAGGCAACCCATTGGCTAGATTCGCTGGGCTGTTTGAGTGGCATCCGACGGCTTTCCGCCTCCGAAGTGGCCGAAAATGTCCCAAAGCCGTACATCGCCGTAACATGCTGCAACTCTTGAATCCCACCACATTGCTCTGCGTTTAGGCCTGAGCCTCTACAAGATCGATGACGAGGCCACAACAGTGATGCGAAATGCTTGACACATGAGCGGCTGACCCCCTGCAGGTGCGACGCGGCGCCGATTCGCCACGGAGCGTGGCAAAGGACTGTGCTCATGTGAAGCAGACAGATCAACAGCGAGATTTCACTGTGGGATGGCTGTCCGGATCAGCCGTACTGCTACTGCGATGATGTGGGCTTTGGGGTTTTGGGGTTTTGAGGGTTTTGAGGGTTTTTGGGCTTGGGGTCTCAGAGTTTTAGGAGTTTGGGGGGGCTGAGCGTTTTTGTTGTGGGCTTTCTGTAGGGGTTTTACGGGTTTGAGGGGTTTTCGGGGTCGGAGTTCAAGGTTTTGGGGTGTTTAGGGCTTTGAACGGTATTGTTGTGGGTTTGAGGGATTTTCGGGGTTTCAGGGGGTTTAGGTTTATGGGTTTAGGGGTTTTTGTTGTGAGCTTTAGGGCTTGTAGGGGTTTAGGGCTCAGCACGAAGGAAGGTTGGGGTTTAGGGTTTAGGGTTTAGGGTTTAGGGTTTCGGGTTTAGGGTTTAGGGTTTAGGGTTTAGTGGGGAGGGGAGTGCGGTTGGGGTTTGGGGTTTGACAAGGGCGGGTTTAGGGCGGGTTTGGGGCGTCGGGTGCGTAGGGTGCTGGCCTCGACATGGGTGTGGGGGTCTGGGGGTATGGGGTTGGTTTCGGGTTTAGGGT